GTCAAATACGTTTACGTAATCACTATACAGATAACATTTCAAAGACAAAAACTGCAAAACAATATTAATAACAATTGATCTATACCTACCAACGGCTTAGAAGCAGACGTGTACATTTTATATGTCGGTAAAATATAATGAGATAATTCGTTTGTGGTTAGTGTTAGAAATTTAAACGAGAACCTACATGCTTGTACACAATCATCAGTACACAGTTTTTACATTAACTTTCACAGACTACAATGTTTTAATATGTACCAGGGACGCCCGGATGGGGGGGCCAGTGGGGGCCATTGCCCCCCTGAGATTTTCGCGTCCCTTACAAAATTGGAAGTTATTTTACATAAAGCTGATCTTGGGTATTCAGTGACTATTCGACAATCCTTATATCTAACAAGTATCTAACATTTTTTTTCATCAACAAATGATGATTCAATTAATTTATTTGCTTCAAACAAAAGGAGATTGTCATTACTTTTTGAATAAAATAATAAAATATGATGCGAATTCAATCAAATAAAGTTGTTTTTTGTTTAAACTTTATTATATTTTTTCTTATAAATATTAAAACTAATAACTAATAATGTAATTTTATATAAACTTAAATGAGTTTTGATTTTTAAAAAATTATTAATGATAGTAATACAAAATATGAGTAGATGAAATATGTATCAGTAAATCTTCCTATAAGTATTTAGGTATTTACAATTTTTTTGCCCCTCCTGAGCTACATTTCTGTGGGCGTCCCTGATATGTACGATATATTAATTTATATTTTACATAATATGTATTATACGAGCAACACAATTATTTAATTTACATTGTACTCATTACCTACACAATACGGTTATGTCACTACATTAATCACTACATAATCGAAAGGACTGAGTTGTACAATAACTATCAGAATTGAACTCAACTTTGTACTTACTGAATGTTTATTCAAATCAATTGATAATATGGTATAGATTTTGCCCAACATAATTGTTTTTGCTGCATTACTCTTGAATATAATAATACAACCGGACAACAATTCTCGAATCGTAAGGGTGGAAGGAAAACAGATATAATTTAGGTATCTAATCCTTTGTTTTTTTTAAAAATTAGAATACTTCTGGCGGTACATCGATATTTAAAAATAAAATATACATCAACTGTAGTCGATGCCATAATAACCTAAACAAAATAACTGAAGTCATTTCTTGGGATAAAAAGCCGAACGATATAGAATTATTATGCCTCAGTGATTTGGTTGAATTATGAGGAATTCCATATAACGAAAACTAAAAAAAAAACCTTAGTGAAAATATTTTTTTGCACAAACACTAGAATTTCTATTAAACGATTTTTTATGGAACCATGAAAGCGTCATTAAAAGCCGTTTCTATTTAACGAATTAATTTTATATTATTATTTTATAATTATATAATAATATTAGCTTAATTACCCGGCTTCGCACGGAACATTCTTTGCCGTGACATAGGTTTTATTACTTTGCACTATTTAAAGCCAAGTTCGGTATAACTATTGGTGGTTATAAAACAAATAAAATGAAAGTTCAAATGAATCAGTATAGTAATTACCGTATTTGCTGGTTCCAATATTTTTTTAAAATCCCTTCTTATTGCACGTTTTATATATTGGAGAGACCACCATGTCAAATTTCAAGTTCATATAATTTTGAAATGTAGCGATGATCAATAAGTGAGTTATACCTGACGTTGTCCGTTGAGAAAATTTTGAGTGTTTAATTTTTTTTTCGGTGTTACCGTTGAACAACCTTAACCTTTTAACCTTCTTATTTTGGATTATTATTTTTTTATTTATTCATTTTATTGAGAAAAGTCTGACAGTTGGAGGTTCCAAATAAATGCTATTTATTAAAATGTAAGTGGATTATACAATATTTTTTATTTTTCCTTTTGTGGTGTGTACACAATTTGATACGTGAGTATGCCACATATAGTTATCCATGTGAGAAGCATGAATTTTCAAAATTCAGTCCATACACTTGTTTTAATTGTTCTAGTAATTTGTTAATGATCATTGAAAAAGCGAGTCACACTGGTTTGAAAAGTTTGAATTCCATTGAATTATCTGTTGGAGTCATTGGGATGCATGGTAATAGTACATGTTCACTTTTAAATTTTCCGTTTAAAATTATGACTTCGATTATTAGTTTAAAATCACTTAAATAATTGCGTAAATTTATATAGTTATTCACCGAAAAAAAGAATAAAAGCATTTATATGTAACATTCTTTTATACATACAAGCATTTATATGTATTCAAATCTTACAACGTAGGTACCTAACGTAACATTTTTTATTTATAACTTTAAAATATTAGAGAAATTTAAATTATTATTATACTTATTATACGTTAAAACTTAGGCTTATTACAAATTATTATTTGCATATATTTCGTTCAGTAAAAATGTGTTTTCAAGTGAAAAAGGGGATTTATCGTTCACGAAATTTCTATTAAACATTTTAGTTTTTTAAAGAACCATTAAATTTGTTAAATAGATTCTACTGTAAGTATGACTTTTAATTTACGAATTCGAACGAGGAACATACCATATTTCATGGAAGATAACAGCAAAACTTCACACAAGTTTGTACTGAATGCGGCTGGTTGATTCACCGCGACTACGTAAAATGTAATATTAACAATAATATTTAAATATATATATATATATGTAGCACATAAAAAATAATATCTTTGAAAAATACCTTTGCGGTAAAAAAATCATTTGTTTTAACTTTGATCATATTGCGGGTAAATATAATTAAAAAAAAAATTTAAATCCACAGTGAAATCACATATTATAAATTTAACACTGGGTTAAGTTTTTAACACTGTTAAAGTGGTTTCGTTTATCTGGAAAACTTGCTTTGAATACTGTGGGAACCTATTACATTCAATTGAAACTCTTGTTGTATTAAATACTTTTATTTATTTTTATTTTTTTATTGTACTTTATGCAATGAATATGTTAGTATTAGTAATGGAAATTATTTCAGGCATATAGTAAATAATTCGAATATTAGAATATTCAAATATTCGAATATCAGTATTCGATGCTACAATCATAGATAATACATGTATTATCTATGGCTACGATACAATACGTAACGAAAATTATTCGTTTAAATTTTCGCGCAACACAAAACGTTTAATATTAATATTATATGGCTTATGGTGTATAAAGGCCTGCGAGAAATGGATTCGAAGCCAGCGATATTTACTATTTGACAGGGAAATTAAAATACAAAGAAAAAATACTCGAATATCATAATTAAATTATTATTAATTAATTTATAATTATATAAACTATAAATCACTACAGCGAGCATCGCTTAGAACGAGATACTGCTTACAACAAGCAAAACGTTAGGTCCCGGCACGGCACTTATGATTGTATGTTAAAATATACGTCTACAACGAGTATGGTTTTACAAGAAAATAAAGCTAACTACTAATAAACAAGTACCTGCAAGATAAGAACTATTTTCATATTTAGGTCGATTAATCATTGACATACATTATCTTTAGTTGCGTATATATGGATTACTTATTAATAATAAATAATATAAAAAGTTTATCACGGAAAAACGGGTAAAACAAATTAGGTATCTTAGCATCGAATACTAATATTCGAATATGTATTACATTACTGATTAGAATACAATTGATATATCATTGATCAAAAATTATGACATTTTAACTAACATAATATGTTATTACATAAGTTATTGCAAATCATATTATCAGTCTCGAAACATCTGACATGGTAATGTGAGAGTAAACAGTGAACATATTAGTTTTTAATCGACTGATAGAATCACAATTACCATTTTGCTTAAAAATGTATAAAAAGAACTGAAAATTGAATCAAAACAAACATCATAAAAAACAATGTGTTATTTTCAAGAGAAACGTTATAGCAAGATTACTTTTAAAATTATCGCTTCAAAATGCTGAAGGTCTCCACCGCACGAAGTAAAAATATAGATAGAATTAATGTTTGTGTTGGTTTCCAGTTAATTCAAGATTGTAGATCTTAAATTCTATCATATTATTATTTTAATGAATATAACAACAGCTCTCATTTTCTATTTGAGAGTTGAAGTTTTTTGAAACCAAAATTCGGATCTGCAAAAAGGTAATGTTCCATTAATAGTGTGGGTGGTGGGGGGGGGGGGAGACGGAGTCAAATAAAAAAATTTCCTTTGTTGTTTTTACACTCGCGCAATTCGACTGTTTTTCTAGGAAACTTTTACCAAACCATTTAGTTAATTAATAATTATTTCAATGGATTAAGTATAGCTTCTTTGAAGTTACAATATTGGTATTTAATATTCTTGTAATGATAAAAATAGCATATATCGGTCGGTTTGGAATAAAAAGTTATTCTTCTCACCTATAGTCGAGTAGTATGCGATATTTTTCTCAGAATCTGCGTAAACCACGTAAATTATTTGTAAACTGCGGTTCACAACTCGTATCTATTCGTACCTTTTACAATTAGAAATAATTTGCTACACAATTTTCATAACATACAAAAGAGAAAAACAAAGAAAAAAACTAATTTTATCACCAAACCGAATTAAGAGTAAGTGTATTGTTTTCATTTTGTAACCACGAATGTTTACGGTTGACACGAGCAGGTACGGAAAAATGTCGGGGGGCAGTGCGCCTAGACCCCTAGAAGTCCCTCCTCCCCGCTGGTTACGCGCTTGACCATGTGTGTGTGTGTGTGTGTGTGTGTGTGGTTAGCGCGATAAACGAACCGGTGGCGGTCGGTATACGTGCGTGCGCACGGTTACCTGCCAACTGGTTACTGGTTCGCGGTAGAAGGGGGGTTGAACCGCGATGCCCCCCGAAAGTTGGTGGCACCTCCGTGGAAGGCCCACTCCGCCGGTGTGCTGAGGCATGACGGCGGCGGCGGCAACGGCGGCGGTAGCGGTGGCAGCGGCTGAGGCGACGGTTTCGCGGTTGTATCGCAGCGACCATCATTCTCGTCACGCCGGCCGACACAGTCGCACGGCACTCGTCACAGGTAGACGCGGTGCACCGACGGTTGGGGGACGGAAACGAAATTCGCTAAGAGGAGAAAAACAAAAACTACGGAAAACCATACGGACGACGACGACGGCTGTACGATTTTATCGACTTTCCTCGAGACGATTTCGATAAAAACAATACTGTTGCGTTATTGCCGACGCGAGTGCACGTCGAGACCACACCGCGTCCGTACTATATTTTAAATTGCAGCTGAAGCGTTGCGGTGCGTCGTAGTACGTATTACAATAATAATGATCGTAATTAATGCATGCGTTTGAACATAAGAAAAAATCACTCTCCTCCTCCTCCTCCTCCTCCTCCTCCCCCCCCCACCGTACCATTGCTTGTGCTGACTTTTTTCCATTTTTTCCATTTTTACTGATGCCACGTTATCGCGGCTCGTCGTCGCCGCCGCCGTTGTTATTATTGTTGTTACCGCGTACCGGTTCTGTGTTGCAGCGACTGGTGAGTGCGGACAACACGAGCGGGACCACGACCAGACACCGCGGCACGTGTTCCTGTCATTCGCACGCGGAACCTCTGCCGTGCGGTAGCCTACTCGTCGACCGACTCTCCGCCGACCACGGATCGACCGATCGCCGTAGTCACGCGGACCTCACGCCGACGTCGTCGAGATGACCAACCAGCCGACCATCGTGATCAAGTAAGCTTCCTATACATGTTTATTTTTATTTTTCTTCTTCTTTACCCCGTCCGTTGAAAACGTTGCATCCCGTACATGTGTACGTGCACAAAATGTTGTGCAAAAACGCGTTACAGCCGTCCGAGTTTCGATGCGACGCCGGTGCCGTGTGACATAACTTGTTTTCCGCTCGGCCGTCGCGATTTTTCCGTGGTTTTCTCAGCAGCGTACGCGAAGTCGCTATTGGGGGTTACTTAATTTTTGTGTATTATTATTATTTTTTTTTTATACTCTTTCTCCGCAAACCCTACGCGCCAAATCGCACTACCGCTTTGGCAACAGAGATCGTAATTCGTCCTCTTCCGAGCCGGGGAAACGAGAAAAATAATGCGCAAACTATTACTATGCGGTTTTGATATTTCGTAATTCTTCCGGTCAGAAATCTTCAATTCAATATAAATTTTCTTGGATTTATCGGCGTATCGTTTTCTTTTTTCTAAACGCTATTCATATTATTTATTACATCAGAACCGTTTTTCGAATATTATAACGATTACGCTTTCGATTCTATATACATATACGTGTACAATAGTTTACTATTGGCTTATTCGGTGTTTCACGGCTAAGTTAAGGTTACACATGATATTTTGTAATAAATATTATAAGGATTTTATTTATACAAATTTACACATCGTATACACCTGCTCCGAACGTCATTCTAATAGTAAAGTAGTTTTCGTACAAATCTTAATGGAAATCAATTACAATTTACTTATTCCGGTGTTCGTGTTTAATTCAGCATATTTTTCCGCAGTTGTAACTTTTTTTATCTACAACGTTATGTTTTACAAATAAAAAAAATTGGTTTTATTCAATAGAAATGTTGATATCGTCGAACGTAGACGATAAACAAGTTAAATAATGTTCCATAACTCGACCAATATTTCGACATACGCTGGCATATTATATAAATATAATTAATATTTTTTTTCTGGACCATCATTGGATCATGGTGTTTATGTTATTATTAACAGTACTTGACTTGAGGGGGGACGCAAGGGACGGAGTACTCAACTAATATTCAGAAATTTTAACGTCTTCCTACTATTATTACGTTACAATTATAACGCTTAACAAGTCTTGGGAACACTTTTTTCTTTAAAGTAAACGGAGTCTCCCTTCTTTAATTTTGCCAAATTAAACACTGATTTTCAGTCAGAAAGTTAAAAAATCTACAAAACGTACAAATTTACAGTTCTCGAATAAACAGCATAAATATTTAAAATATATATATGCATATATAATATACGTTTGACACCTTAGAAATATCTCACGTTTCGATGTCTATCTACGATCGTTGTTCATGTGGACGGGAAATCGTGCCCAAACGACTTTGGGGAACGACGACTACGGTGACACTTTGGCAAGGGTGTCCGAGTGCATAATATTACTATCGCCATGGTACGATGAGAAATTATACTCGTCAGAATGTCTTTTTTTCCTTCCGAGCGTGTCTGCTTAGAGGTTTTTTTTTATTCGCACAATTGACATTATTATATATGTAAATAGAAATAGGTAGTGCATGTATAATTATTGTGACAGTTTCACGTCGTAAGTGTTGCACGTGTTGACGGATCGAACAATTTCCCGTGGTGTCGTTTCTGTGCTTCACATAAACGATTTGTATGATACGTACGATACGCACAACGTCATGTGTTCATATTTGTTGCATTTAGTATAGCTACAACACATTGTATGTATTCATGTCTCCACATTGTAATTATCATATTGTGTACGAGTTCTGGTACGGCTATGAACGCGATGTTTAAGTTAGTCAAGTACGTACGCTATGAGTCGAAGAAACTGGTGCGATTTTCGCAAGGTGATATTAAAAAAAAAAAAAATAGAAATTCGATAAAAATTAATGTCACCCACGAACGTCTTTTACTTGTAAACGATAGGTTTAAATGCGATACATTGGCAAACAACAACAATTATAATAAAATTACGAGTACATGAATAAACTGCAGCATTTGTATTTGAAATACAAAAATGTGTGTAGTCGTAACTCCTCTTCTATTATAGCTTTAACAATCACTATCTTTCATCTAGATAAATAATTTAATTATTTCACTTGAATCACAGGGTACCTATGAAGAGCAAAAAACATGGCAATCTCAAAAATTACTTTTAGCCTACCATATCATATTTTAATAAAATAATTTTTTTTTTTTTTTTATAACTTACTACCGCTGTAACTCGACCAGTCACTTTTTTTTGTTAAGTGACCGAGTAATGGTTCAATTAAACAAAATCAGTCACTGTATATTTTATTATCTACCAAATTCGAGTAACATTCTTTAATCGATAATGGATAACATAAGATTCATCTGAAACCAACAAATTCTATTCAGAATTCCGAATGTTTTTGGTTTGTTTTTCGCGCATTTTAAAATTACCTCTTGCACATACGAGTTTATTTAGGTACATGAGGGTCCCCGTATATAGGTGGTATATCCTTACCGCAAATTGAATACGCCCGTATATGATAATATACGTATAGAATATTAAGACTTTCTAGCGCATCCGTTGCAATTTTCATTCGGTGGTGGCGACTATAATAATATTCGTGTTCACGTGGTTTATTCAATATTTACACGCACAGTTTGACGTGTACTGGAATTAACACCTTAAGCACCTTATATGATATATAGATACCTGTTTACAAGTCATATCAATCACTGTCCGTTCGAGAGTAGAGAATTAAAAGGTCGTACAGATTTTGACGATCGTGACGGATCCGCATAGTATTATAATAAGTATACGAATATTAGCGTTTGATCTCTTGACCACGTGCTGTTATGAACATAATAATAATAAAGCCGAATAAATCACGTGCGCGCCGCAAAGTATTATATATAATTCTGGTACCTATAGGTTAATCGTTGCAAATACGTTCGTTTCCCGATGAATACTATAATAAAATTATTATTATGCTTTCTAAAAGCTGCACGCAAGTGTACAATGGAAAGCGAAACGTATCCTACACGCTTATCTCGAAACCGGCTAACCTAAATAAATAGAAGTGTAAACTGCAACATATCTATTATCTTTTATTCGACAATCATTTCACTGTTTGGCGGATTATTCAATAACGTCTGTGCCTAATACCGATCGATCAACAATTGAATATTATAATAATTACAATAACATTATTTGATTATTATTGTATATTATATTCTAATGTAATAATTTTATTTTATCGTAAAATATTATGTGTTATTATCTTATTCGGGCTTTATTGATTGAATATAATTACCATACCGATCGATTGTTTCCATTGCTCGGACAAGCATCCTTTAATGTTATCATAACCAAGGTATACGCAATAGTGATTATGTTATGATCATTTTTTATTTCCAGAACCACGGTATTATTATATTTATTAATATTGTTAACATTTTTTGAATGCCATATATGTAAAAAATTGAATTTCTCCGCATTTATAGTTATAATGTCAGGATGAAGATGTTCGGTGCCAAGAAATAAATAAACAAATCGAAATCACCTGTACTGTTGTTAATACAAAACCATTTTTTTACAGTCACTATGACCTTACAATAATTATTACAATCATCTTGATGCATTATATGTTTCAAATGTTACTACTTACTAAGACGAGTTATAAATATTTTACCTAAAATTTGATCACCGAATTTCTCCAAACGCGTAGACAATAATATTTTATTACTAAACTTAACGTATATAATTGTAAAATTAAAATACTTCTTTCGGAATTTGAAAATTTGAAAAATTTAAAAGAAAAAAATTAATAACCGGTTCTTAGCATTAGATTTGTTATTATTTGGTATTCATGTAATTTGTATTATGATTTATTATTATTATTATTATTTCAACTTGTGATAACGACATGCTTTAACTAACATACAAGTTTCGCGTTACGGTCGTATTGGAAATATTAATGTAGTAATTTAATTTTAATAAAACTGAAAAAGTTGATAAATGATGATATTATTCAACTTTATACGAAGAAAAAATTAAATTAATAAATTAAAAAGTTATTATTGTGTTACACTATTAAAATAATAAATTATTTTATGAACTTGACTTATAAAATACCTATCGGTAAAAAAAATTGTATTATTTATATCAACATTTATACTATAGATTAAATATATATCGTCAATATTTATACGATCAAATCTCAGTTTGTATATCTATAACTCCAATTACGTTTTATGTCCTTTCAAATTTATTTTAATACAAATTAATCTTGATAATTAAATTAAATTTTACTCTTCCTTGAGACTTAAGAATTCACGAGTCAACTTTATAGTTTATATATAATAAAATACTGTACAGTATTATATCCAAACGTTTTTCCATTTTGTTAAAAAGGAATCAATTATTTTATTTCAGTATTTAATTTAATAAACGTATAATCTTTTGATTTGAAACTAACAATACGTTTTCTTTTATAAATATTTGAATCAGAAAAAATTCGTGAAAAACGCTGTGACTTAATTCAAAGAATAAAGTTCTAATTATTTTTTAAGTTAATACTTTTGAAATTAATATTGAAGTTCTTCTGGAAATTAAAAAACTGTATATCATGATTAATGTACAGTCTTAACGTTAGCTTACTCCACGTAGATAATTCAAAAGATATTGTACATGTTTCTCCGCGTATGCGTAACTTAAGCATCGTTATAACAAATTATATAATATAAACATGATAATGATTTTTTTTAATATAGTTATTGTTCTTATATTGTATTGGGATTTCAGTTTCAAATAGTTTTAAATTTCCGTGGATATTTTAGTAAAAATATTTGTCGTGTTTCCAAAAAAATCATCTTCCTTCAATTTCCACTATATTAGTTTAAACTACGAATTCACCATAAAAGTAAATTAATTACGTTCTATATTTTGCTATGCTGTATGTGTTGGATGGTCTGATACAACTAAACACAAGCTTACTTCCTCTCAAATATTTATTA